ATGACGTCATTAATGAGGCGAGGTCACTGATGACGTCATTAATGAGGAGAGATCACTGATGACGTCATTAATGAGGCGAGGTCACTGATGACATCATTAATGAGGAGAGGTCACTGATGACGTCATTAATGAGGCGAAGTCACTGATGACGTCATTAATGAGGACAGGTCACCGATGACGTCATTAATGAGGACAGGTGTTCCAACACATTTATGGCTGCTGATCTGTCGTTGCCAGGCAAAGACTGTTACAAACACTGCATGCAACTGAAGCGTTTCTCTCGTGTGGACCACCATGTGCTCTGTCATCGGTGTTTTTCGGCAAACTTTTTATCACAAACTGAGCAACTAAATGGTTTCTCTCGTGTGAGTGATCACGCGTCTCTTCAGACACAAACAGATGCACATTATCATGTAAACAGTCCATTTATTGTGTTACATGTCAACAGAAAAGTCACTTTTGATCGTTCAGTTATGGAATATACACAAAACCTATGAACAGAGAACTTCAAATCTGTCCTTTTATTTCTTAAATAAAATAAGTATAATAATGTTCTTAGAGCTCGTGTTAGAAGTTAAACAGCTCATAATTCATCTCTAATGTCTATTTCATATTCATAAACATCTACTTCAAACTACTGGATTTATTCAAGTTTATCACCAAAAATACATTTTACAGATGACATGTGAACACATCATGACAACGTTATAATGTACCTTCAGCCAGTACTCATGTTCACTGAGCAGAGCCTGAAGGCATCATAATGTTTAATTAATTAATTAACGCCGAAAAGAACTGGCCGGCCGGCCAGCGAGTGGCGAACAGCTGTTTGTGTGGCGTGTCTTCCGTTCCGTCACTTCCTGTTTCTAGACATTCCACGTCTCTAGAAATTGTCTGCTATACCAGGGTTCGGCATACCTAGGGCCACATTCCCTTGCCTGCAGCATGGTTCACATTGCACCTGACCCCGATATCTAGCCCTGGCCACCAGACGCTCACCGGCAACCTCCTAGGTCTGGCTCTAGAAGGGGACCCAATTTCCCTTTTCTGGTCGATTCATAAAGGGATGGATGGAAGAAAACCCATCATAACCATGCAAAGCTTCAGATCTGCATCACATAACCAAAGATAAAATGTAGGTAAAAGGTGAAAATGTTCTGAACATGGCGTACACTTAAACTGCACTTTTTTTTTTTGGCTCTTTCTTTTAGGTGTTAAACTATGTTTTACTCTGATGTGGTCTGTGTGCGGAAGAAGTTGAATCAAGGTTTTGAATGTGAAAACAAAGATAAACATATCAAAACATTAACTTGGATCAGTCAATAAATACTATATTAACAATATATTATTAGAATTCCCTTTACCTGAAAGCCAATTAAGTCTTTGTTCACAAACGCTGCAGCTTTTCTCTCTTAAATGAGTTTTAACATGTCCATTCATATTTCCACTTTCACTGAAAGCGTTACCACAAACCGAGCAGCTCACTGGTTTTTCTTCTGCGTGGATTCTCGTGTGTTTCTGTAAATCGCTACTGTGTGTAAAAGATTTTCTACAGACTGAGCACCTAAAAGGTTTCTCTCCCGTATGAGATCTCATGTGTACCTTCAGATTCCCACTTTCACTGAAAGATTTACCACAAGCGGAGCAGCTGAATGGTTTCTCTCCTGTGTGAGATCTCATGTGGTCCTTCAGAGTTCTTTTGGTGCTAAATCTACATCTCAAATCACTGACGGGGACTTTATCTGGTTCTGGATGTCTACCTGGATCTGAGTTCCTGTCTGGTTCTGGTCCTCCACAGTCCTCTCCATCACCTTCTGTTTCCATCTGTTCAGTTTGTCTTTGATGAAGATGTGAGGACTGAGCTTCCTCTTCGTCATCTTCACAGGAGTGAATGAGAACTTGATACCAGCTTCCTCCAGCCCTTGAAGCTGCTCTCCCTCCTGACTGGTCCAGAGGTCCTCCTGGTCCTCTTTAATGTGTGGGGGCTCTGGGTCCTCCTGGTCCAGACTGGAGCTCCACTCATGCTGCTCAGGGGGAACCTCTTCTTTCCCCACCAACAGCTGCTGGACGTCTGCAGGAAACAGGAAACACACATTGAGGGAGTTTATGTTAACTGTATGTTGAAATGGTGGAATTTCACTAGTAGTAGTATCAGTATTAATAGTGGTAATCGTGTCAGTTGTAGTCATAGTAGTAATAGTATCAGTGGTGCAACGGATCACAACACTCACGGTTCAGATCAGCACAAAAGAAAAAAAAAAAGGAGCAAATATAACTTTTAGATCTCTGATCAGGTTTTTATCTGCCGCTGATACTAATTATTGATTATTGATGATCAATGTTAATAGATACAGATCCCTTTGATGTGTGATTATACCAGCTGGTCTACAAGGATCATTTCAACTCTCTGAAGTCAGTAAACCACCAAAAATACTAAATGTTATACTTTTACTTTGTTACAGTAATTTATAGTGGGTTTTTTTTCCAGAAAAACACAATTCAAATGATAAGTAAATAAAAGATTGTATTTTTATTGTCATGATTATTTTTAATGATGTATAATAATGTTCTTAGAGCTCGTGTTAGAAGTTAAACAGCTCATAATTCATCTCTAATATCTATTTCATATTAACGTGAAAACATCTCCTTCAAACTACTGGATTTATTCAAGTTTATCACCAAAACTACATTTTATAGATGACATGTGAACACATCATGATAACGTTATAATGTACCTTCAGCCAGTACTCATGTTCACTGAGCAGAGCCTGAAGGCATCATAATGTTTGTTTAATTAATTAACGCCGAAAAGAACCGGCCGGCCGGCCAGCGAGCGGCGAACAGCTGTTTGTGTGGCGTGTCTTCCGTTCCGTCACTTCCTGTTTCCTTCACCTACATTCCCCTGGGTCCTAAGCCCCTCCATGTACAGCTTCTTATCGTGTACATTTATAACAAATACCACACATATTACGGTAATCAGTGTTGCATATGTGTCTGACCTAAATACCTTTTGTTGATCAGTCTTTGTTCATCCTGCATCGCTCTTTTCTGTTCTTTAATGCAACGTTACTGGCGCGACAGAGCCTCTCCCAGCTGTTAGCAGACTGTTAGCGAGCTTTACCCAGCATGCAGTCCGGCGGTGAAATTTTATAAATGTACAATTATTAGTGTTACAAATTGTATATGTCACAAACTGTTGTGTGTGGTGTTTTGCCCTGTTAAAGAGCATTAGTTGTGGGTTATTAATTGTTGCTATAAAGTTATGACCAAGACTAGGGTTCCCTCTCAATACAGCTAAGATAACTAGCTCCCACCGCAGCACTCTCAGCGGCGAACAATATATTTTGCTGCCTGTTGAAGAGCGACATAAGTTGTTTCGGCTGTGCATGACGGTATATGAAAAATTTATATCATACGGGAAATTAAAACCGGTTGAACCGGTATACCGCCCAGCACTACTAGAAAGCATGAATGATCTTCAGATCTTTGTGATGACGACCGTCAGTAAAACTCTTTCACTCTTTGATGGTTGAACTGTGTAATTAATCAGCGAGTCACATGACTCTCTGGTCATTTTATATCCAAAATGCTCCCTCGCTGCTGATTTAAGGCTCTTTTTGGTGGATATAAGTCTGGTATGTCTGTTCTCGGACATTTTTACAGCTCTTCTTAACACTTTGGGTGAGTGGCACGACTCTCACACACAAAGTGTGAGAACAGATAGAACTGCTAGTTCCGTTAGCCATTTGAGTTTAAAACCAAACACGACGTACAAAACAATCAAAGTGAGCAGTCTGTGTATGTTATATCCGTTAGCTCTTACCACCTCACTGTGGTGAGTAGTGTCTGGGTTTATCGGCCACGCACTCAGCAGTGTTACCACTAGCGGCCCCTACTGGCCGTTAGGAGTAGTGAGCGAGGAGTCAGCAGGCAGTCAGGAGGTAAAAGGTGATCTGAGAACATGCGAGTCACCATCAGAGGTTTTTGAGCATGCAGCCAGAACATGATGCAGCTTTCTGCAACAGGATGAGAGATCAGTGGACAGACACAGAGGTCACATATGCACTCACATACGAGACCGATGGCATGATCCTCCTGGAGGAGATAATAATAATAATAATAATAACAGAATCTGTGAGGGAGGCCAAAAGCCTAACAGGCTTCGTAATATAAAAAAAAAAATTTTAAAAAATCACCCACAAAAAAGTAATAAGAAACTAAATAATCGTAAAAGTAAAAATCTAAGTGAATAAGAAAATCTGTAAGAGACAGCGTATTCCTCCTAAACCATTTTGCATCCCTAAACATCTCTGTGTTGATTCCTCATCAGAATTTCAACATTGTTTTTTTTGTTTTAGATAGAAACAGACAGGTATCCTTAGCAAATTAAACAGTAAATACAGTTTCGGAGACAGAAACTAGGTCATTTACATTAATAAGAAAAAGAAGAGGACCCAGGATTGATCCTTGTGGGACCCCATACCAGATGTTTACTTTAAGAGAAGAACACTAACCATAAAAGTACTGAATCTTGGAAGCTATAGGACCTTAATTTATGAAAATCTTTTGATACATCCAGGAACAATCCTCCAGTGTCCTCTTTTTTATCTGGAGTTGATGTAATCTCATCAATGAGTTATAAAACAGTCATGTATGTGGAATAGTTTCAACCAAATCCATAGCGTTGCTCATATGAGATGTTGTTTCCATTTGTTCAGTTCATGGCTGACGGCTCCGCCTCTCTGTCCTCCTCAGTCTGTCTCTGGTGAAGCTGTGAGGACTGAAGTCCGATACATTCGTGGTTCCTGAGCTGATAAATCAAAGTGAATCTTTGGTCACAAACACTGCAGTTGAATCTTTTCTCCCCCGTGTGGATTCTCATGTGTTTCTTCAGATTTCCACTTTCACTGAAGGCTCTACCGCACACAGAGCAGCTGAAGGGTTTCTCTCCTGTGTGATTACTCATGTGGTGTGTCAGCTGTACCTTTTGTATGAATCTCTTGCCGCACACTGAGCAGTCGAAGGGTTTCTCCCCCGTATGTGTTATCATGTGTCTCTTCATATCTTCCTTGCGCAAAAATCTTTTATCACAAAATGAGCAACCAAATGGTTTCTCTCCGATGTGGATTTTCATGTGTCTCGTCAGAGTTCCATTTAATCCAAATCGTTTCCCACACTCAGAGCAGCTTAATGGTTTCTCTCCTGTGTGGATTCTCATGTGTTTCTGTAAACTATCGCTGCGTGTAAAAGATTTCTTACAGACTGAGCAGCTGAATGGTTTCTCTCCTGTGTGGGTTCTCATGTGTCCCTTCAGGTTTCCCCCATCACTGAAAGCTTTACCACAGACTGAGCAGCCAAATGGTTTCTCTCCCGTGTGGATTCTCACGTGTTTCTGTAAATCTCCACTCTGAGCAAACGATTTCTTACAGATTGAGCAGCAGAATGGTTTCTCTCCTGTGTGAGTTCTCATGTGTCTTTTTAAAAATGATCTGCAGCCAAATCTTTTCCCACAGTGAGAGCAGCTGAATGGTTTCACACCAGCACTAGACATTGAATCACTGACAGAAACATCATCATTATTCACAGAGTTTAGACCTGACTGAGGTTCTCTGGTCCCATTCCAGTCATCAGTCTCAGGTTCAGAAGAGTCTCCAGTCTTGTTATCAGGATATGGTTCTAGATCCGAGTTCTTGTCTGGTTCTGGTCCTCCACAGTCCTCTCCATCACCTTCTGTTTCCATCTGTTCAGTTTGTCTTTGATGAAGCTGTGAGGACTGAGCTTCCTCTTCATCATCTTCACTCTTCACAGGAGTGAATAAGAACTTGATATCAGCCTCCTCCAGACCTTGAAGCTGCTCTCCCTCCTGACTGGTCCAGAGTTCCTCCTGTTCCTCTTTAATGTGTAGGGGCTCTGGGTCCTCCTGGTCCAGACTGGAGCTCCACTCCTGCTGCTGAATCTCTTCGTTATTCACCAACAGCTGCGGAAGGTCTGCAGAAAACAGGAAACACACACAGAGATGTTACAAGGAAGTAATAATAATAATAATAATAATAATAATAATAATAATAATAATAATAATAATAATACATTTTGTTTGTAAAGGCCCTGTACATGGTAAAAACATCACAAGTTGAAAACAGATTTAAATTTAAGTGCAGTTTTGATAGTGGCGAGTGACGGAGAATGTCTGATGGAGGAGAGAGTCCGGGGGGGGGGGGGGGGGG